ATACATACATACATACATACATACATACATACATACATACATACATACATGCATACATACATACATATATGCATACAGATATGTTTTATAGAAGGAGCGAGGGAGAGCAAGAGAGAGAAAGAAGCTACCGAGTATGCAGACGAGATAAGGAAAGAAAATACATTCGCATCTACTGAGATAAGAGAGTAAATCTGTTCGAGTTACAAGAGAGCCCATCTACTTATTTGGGCTGTCATGATGACAGGCGGGAGAGTAGAGGCAAAAAGGAAAGAATAAGGTTGGCCGAATAAAATAAGGAGGCAAGATTTGTTGGAAATTAGCCAAAGTTAGTAGCTGCCGGTTTGCGGCTAGATCGAGCAGATGACAGAGCTGCCTAGGGGGCATTTCTCAGGCCGCACTGTCTCCGGCACGCGGCAACCGGACGCTTTACGGACAGGATGGAGGACAACTTTACGTCAAGGGATGCAACTGAAACGACGGAGTACAGGCGGGAAATATTGTAACTATTTAGTGCAAGTAGCACGATAGCCTGGGAAGATAATGAAAGGGAGCGTCGGTCTCATGGTTGGCGTGAGTGCCGCTGTTATCCCCACCCTAATCAGTATCATCAACAGAATTAAAAACAAATTATTACCCCTTCTCGACTAGAATCCTAGGTGGCCCATGCCAAGCCGGGCCGGGCGTGCAGGAGCACGAAATTCAATACCGCCGAGAGAAGCAAACAACAGCTCGGCAAAATCAAACGGACACGAGGGTCCAGGCTCAACTTCAGACATGCACTTTCCCAATGACTCGGTGGTGTCATGGCCGCCAGACTACAATTGCTCATGATGGCCGCGGGCAGGCAGCAACAAAAAGACTGGGAGAAGGACAAAAGTGGTAGCAATTGGCCTACTCGCAATGGGTAGTGCTAAGACGAAAATAAAGATGGTGACAACTCAACTAAAGTCATGTTGGGCCAAATAAGAAGAAGTAGAAGGAGAAGGAGATGGAGGAGAAGAAGAAGAAAAAAAAGAAGAAAAGAAATAGAAGGAGAAGGAGAAGAAGAAGATGATGATGATGATGAAGAAAAGGAAGAGAGGAAGAAGAAGAAGGAGAATGAGAAGAAGAAGAAAATGAAGAAGATGAAGAAGAAGAGGAGGAAGAAGAAGTAGTAGTAGTAGGAGAAGAAGAAGAAGAAGAAGATGATGATGATGATGATGATGATGATGATGAAGATGATGATGATGAAGAAGAGGAAGGAGATGATGAAGAAGAGGAAGAAGAAGAAGAAGA